CTGGTCTAGATCTGTTTGTTGCTAAGAGATAAATAACCATTTGTGGTTGTTAGTAAGTTTTTTGTTTCTGGCCGCTTGAGGGACAGCAGGGTCCCGTGGCTCGGGGAGGGGAGAGGAGGGGAGAGGTGGGTTCTAAGGGCCAGGGTTAGGGAAGGAGTGTTATCTAGGGAAATAAGAGGCACCAAAGGCAGGGGCAATCTGAACTGAAGTCTAATGCAGAAGAGCTTCAGGTCCCCGACCCCAAGGAGAACAGACAACAGAACCAAGAGGCCAAGGGATAAAAGTAAGGGTAGAACCCAGAGCCTGGGCCAAAGGTCAGAGGTGGAGGAGGAGGCTGCCAAGATCTGCTTCCTGTTTTTTTTTTTCCCCTAGTTAATTTAAAAATTGCTATGGAATTAGGGTGTGGTGATTCAGGCCTCTAATCCCAGCACTCAGGATGCTGAGGCAGGAAGGATTATCGGGAACACAAGCCCAGCTTGGGCTACAGTACGGAATGAGTTCCAGGTCAGCCTGGGCTACTAAGGGAGACCCTGCCTCAAAAAAGAAAAAGAAACTTATAATAAATGTTCTGCTAATTTAATGGACATGAAGGAATAGTAATTATTGACACTGGGTAACTTAGTATGGAAATTTCCAGGTGATCCAAAGGAGATAAAATTCAAGACAGAGCAGAGTGATAACCATGGACCGTGTGCACCTTGATCTTCAAGCACAGAACCAGACTCACAGCCACTGTGGAGCCTCCTTTGAGTCTCACGGGACCTTTTACATTTTCTGTTTGGAAACATCCTGACTTACAGAAAAGAGGCAGAAGAAAATGGTCTCTAGACTAGCTTCCTCAAATGCCAACACTTCCCACATTTACCTCTGTCTCTTTCCCAGTACGCTTTCCCCAGACTGCCTGAATGTACCCTGTGGATATAAAGCACAATCACCCCACACTTCCCATGTGTATTTCACAACAGCAAGGACTTCACTCTCATAAAACAAGGGAGAATTATTAAAATCAACAAACAAGCACAGACTGACTGGTATATGTTTTTATTTTATGTATGTTGATATTTTGTCTGTGTGAGGGTGTTGGATCCTCTGGAACTGGAGTTATAGACTGTTGTGAGCCACCATGTGGGTGCTGGGAATTGAACTCGGGTCCTCTAGAAGAGCAGCCAATGCTCTTAACTCTCCAGCCCTGACTGGCATATGTTCTTTGACAGCTCTCTCTCAGAGTTTAGCCCTTGTCCCACTAATGTCCTCTGGAGCATTCTGTGGGAAGGCTGCAAACCCCAGATGTGCAGTCACTGGCTGGGAGCGCATGGTGCGGTGGATCTGCACAGCTGGCACTGTCCGTCAGGCAGCAAGAGCTCTAACTGCATCTCCATGGCTGTCGCATGCAGCCTTCCTGTGACCAAACACGAACAGGCAAGAGAGTTGCAGAGGGGCTGGAGAACGGCGCGGAGGTTAAGAGCGCGTGCCCTCTTGCAGAGGACCCAGGTGCCGTTCCCAGCACCCTGTGGCTCATAACTGCCTGTAACTCCTGCTCCAAAGAATCAAATGCCTTCATCCGGCCTCCTTAGGCTCTGCATGTATGCGGCACACATGGACTAACATAAACATATTAGAAAAAAAAAAAAACCTTTGGAAAGGAAAAAGATTGGCAGAGGTCCATTCGGAGCAAGTCTGGCTGCTGGCCAGCCAGCAGCTCCCCACCTCCTGACCTCCTGGAAGATCGGGAACACAACCAGCCATTCATCTAGGCTCCTGGAAGCTGGATTCCTGTTAATTGCGGCCAGAAACTTTTCTGGCCTCGCCCTCTAAAAGCAGAAATGTCAGATCTTTGTACCCACAGATGAGTGTGCCCACACAGACACATTCAAACCGCTCTCACCAAAACAAAAACAAAAAGAAAGAACACACGAGTCTCCCTCTTTCCCCCTAGCAATTCAATATATTTTTATCACTTTAATTTATTTGGGTGATTTTTAACAGACATAACACCTCTCTTTAACAACTCGCAGAATTTTAGAGCTGCAGAAATGTGAGAGATGAACTCATGGAGCCTCCTTCACACACATGTCATTTAGAGAATCATGTTCACAGGTATTAGAGGTGGCCACGCGACCAGAAAGGGGGGTCTACAGAAAAGGGGGCAAATGTGCTTCAACTGTCTCCCACCAAACAGTCTGAACAGGCAGCCACCAATGTGCCCAGTAAATAATACTTCCTACAGTGTTTCCGACAGTCACTGTCATCAAACTGTGTGTGTGTGAGAGAGAGAGGATGTGTGTGTGAGAATGTGAGTGTGTGTGTGTGAGAGAGAGAGGATGTGTGTGAGAATGTGAGTATGTGTGTGTGTGAGAGAGAGGATGTGTGTGTAAGTGTGTGTGAGTGTGTGTATGTGTGTGTGTGTAAGAGAGTGTGCGCATGTGTGTTACCGGGCATCTCTTTTAAAATCGCACACTCTCAAGGCAAGCACTAATCACTAAGCTCCACCCACAACCTGTCTCTTTCTTACAGGCAATAGAACAGCAAAACATTAGTGAAATTCACACTTTCTGATGTCAGAACTGTGTACTGTAGTGGGAAGAAGCATATTCCTTGGGATCAGCCTCCATCGGTTTTACTATAGGCCCCACCCTGCTAAGAGGGGACGCTAGTGACTGGACCTTCTGCTTGTTCTGCTGTGGGATGTCCCGTATGTTGTGAATATATGTTGCTATGATTTATTGATAAATAAAACACCGATTGGCCAGTAACCAGGCAGGAAGGATAGGCGGGACTAGCAGAGAGGAGAATTGAGGCAACAGGAAGGCGGAGGGGAGGAGATGCTGCCAGCCGCCACGATGAGGAGCAGGATGTAAAGTGCCGGTAAGCCATGAGCCACGTGGCAAAGTGTAGATGAATACAAATGGGTTAATTTAAGATAGAAGAACTAGATAACAAGAAGCCTGTCATGGCCATACAGTTTGTAAGCAATATAAGTCTCTGTGTGTTTGTTTACTCGGTTGGGTCTGAGCGGCTGCGGGACTGGCGGGTGAGAGAGATTTGTCCTGACTGTGGGCCAGGCAGGACTGGAGAAAACTCCAGCAACATTGTTCTTTGTTTGTTTGTTTTTTTCCTTTGACCCTTTGATTCATTCTTTCTTTGAATCTTTCTTCCTTTGCAGTGATAAGGCTCGAACCCAGGCCTCTGACTTCCCTATGTTCTACCCGAGGTGTATCTCATCCGCGATCTGTCCTTTGTTGCCCTCGCTCTCTCTGTACAGCAGCCCACACCTGCAGTCGGAGCATTTGGGAAGCAGAGGCCAGAGGATGGGAGTTCCGGGTCATCCTTAGTGAATGGGAATCCTTAGCTACATAGTGAATTTGAGCACAGCCTGGAGTATGAGACCCTGTCTTTAAAACAAACAAACAAACAAAGCCAGGTGTGGTGGTGCACATCTTCAATCCTAGCACTGGGGAGGCAGAAGCGGAGGCAGCCTGGTCTACATAGTGAGTTCAGGGACAGCCAGGCTCTGTAGAGAGAACCTGTCTTAAAGCAAGTAAACAAACAAAAAGTACAAATGATGCCAGGCTGTGGTAGTGTACAGCTTTAATCCCAGTACTTGGGAGGCAGAGACAGGCAGATCTCTGTGAGTTCGAGACCAGCCTGGTCTACAGAGTGAGTTCCAGGACAGCCAGCTCTACATAGAGAAATCCGGTCTTGAAAAACCAAAAAACACAAACAAACAAACAAACAAACCCATACAAATGAAATAAGAGGCTTATAGGAGTTCCTACCTCTCAAGGGACTTGTGACAACTTGAGGATACTAGCATTCTTACTGTTATTACAGTGTCCCAATTATAAAGGGGGGTCATGTGCGTTGGTTACACCATATGAGGAAATGTGGACTATACCTTAGGCTGTGTTTGTGGGCCTTGGGTACCCAAGGGTTAATGAACTTTGCACTCTGTTTTTCTCTGAGCCTCACTGGGCGCCAGCCTGCATGCCTTCCCATTGCAGACAGACTGGGCCTCAGATCTTTGCAGACCTTTGAACCTAAAATTGCAGCAAACAGGGGAATTTACTCAAAGCCTTTATTCATGTTGCCACGGAAACTGACCCTTCCTCCAGCCTTCTGTTGGGAGTTTCTGCTTCTCAGCAGCTTCTGGTCTGTGGGCGCTCCCACATCAGGGCCTGCCCTTCCCTGTGGAGCCCTCTTGTCAACCTGTGCGGAGCAGCTCCTAAAGCTTATGGACACAAGCGGAAGTACTCTATATCTTAAATGGGGAAGCGTCTTTGGGGCTGTACCCAGCTGGGTTGTTCCACACCGGAAAGCAACGGAAATGAATTCCAGCTATTCAAGAGCCCAGAAAACCTACCACCTTGGAGCCGTTCCTGAAGGACGAATTCCAGAGTCCGGAGGAATCACTCAACGCCAGAGTGTGTGCTTACTTAGTAAGCACAAGGCTCTGGGTTCAGAGTCCTAGTACTATGAATGAATGAGTGAATGAATGATGAACTTACCCCAAGGGACACTCAGCAACGGAAATCAACTCAACAGTGGAAAAGCTATGGAAAAGTCCTGGAGGTCAACATTGAAACCAACAAATAAAGCCAGTCTCCCAATCTCGACTCACACTGGTCCCCAAAGTAACCATGAATGAATTACCGGATCCATGTGCTGCTGTGTACTTGGTAGGTTGAAAGGGCACAAGCACTAGCCATCTTTGGAGACCGTGGAATGAGATCCTGCAGAATTTCCTGGTCCATTCTGAAAAAGAGCTCTATTTTTGTCTGCAGCCTACAGTAAGCCACTTATGCTGGCTACCGTCTGTCCACTTGATACAAACCGGGAAGAGGGAGCCTTAATCTAGGAATTGCTTCCATCAGATTGGCCTGTGGTACATTTTCTGGATTAATGATTGATGTGAGAGGTCCTGGCCAGGTAGAGGCAGCGCCAACTCCTGGGAAGGTGATCCTAGGTTGTTTAAGAAAACAAGCCAAGTAAGCCATGGAGAGCAAGCCAGCAAGCAGGACTCCTCCATGGCCTCTGCTGCAGGTGCTGCCTGGAGTCCCAGCCCCGGCTCCACCACCCCACCCCACCCCCGTTACAGACGCTAACCTGTAAGCCACGCAAACACTTCCCACGTGGTTTGTGGCCAGTGTTTCATCATAGCAACAAAAGCAAACCAGGATCAGAAATTTAAACAGGATGGTTTTTGAAATCAAACAAGTTCCTTCTTTGCATTCATTAAGTGCGGATTAATACTGCTTGAGTTCTAGATTAAGTGTGTTTCTCACTGTGTAAAAATGACACATGCAATGAAAACCATGTTGCTGCAATGCACACGATTCAGCCCCACTTCCTGCCCTCGGACAGCGAATGACAGATGCAAACACTAAACAGGAATCGGCTCTGCTTCCAGAAATCATCTGCTGTGTGATCTTAGACAAGTGACCTGTGCTCTCCACTCAGATCCTTGACTTATCTGCATTCCTCAGGAAAAGGAGCAAGGGGAGCTGTTCCAGATCTTTCCGGCTTGATCTTGGTGAGAGGAGCGACACTCGGGAATCCGGGCTTCTGAAGTGCAGGCTGTGTGAGCTGTATGTGGAGTGACACTGACTTCTGAAGTGTGAACTGTGTGTGGAGTGACACTGACTTCTGAAGTGTGAACTGTG